GCTGCATTTTCCTTTATATTCACAGTCTCCAGGACACTTCACCTGCTATAATACACTCTTTGCCTTTTTTGTATTTAATAAATTGTGATTTCAACTTGTTTTAAATGACCATATATGAAATATGCAAAATGCAGTGTATTTCTTATATGTTCTTTCATTCTTTTTTGGTACTGGGGATAAAATTCAGGAATTCTTAACTACAGAGGTGTATCCCCATCCCTTTTTATTTTGAGACAGGGTCTCACTAAGTTGCCTGGATTGGCCTTAAGCTTGCAATCCTCCTGCCTCAGCCCCCTGAGTAGCCAGAATCATAGGCATGTACCACATCTTGTGTTTTCTTTGTTAAGCAATGTTGTGATTTCCTTCATTCTTCCATTGCTTAGTCTGCTTTTCTTGGCATTTTTTTTTAAAAGCTGCTCTTTCCTAGCCATTTTTCTTTATTTTATACCAGAAAAATGCCTCTTACTGGCTTTCTTCCAGTTTGAGAGCATAATCCACTCAGATATAATCTGTTAGTGTGAATAAGGCTTTTCTTGTGAAAAATAATAATCTGTATCTTTCCCATAGGAGAAGAACATGAACTGGTACTTATATGTTATTTAGCATGGTATTGTAGAGATGGTGGTACCTGGTTGTATTTTGCAGGATTTTTCCTTTATTTTTGTGTTGTGTCAATTTTAGCTATTTTACAAGTTATTAACATAACCAGAGAAAAGCAAATTCTTTTTTTTTAATGATTGTGATGAAGACTTGAAAATTTAAAACAAATAACTTGAAAAACTAAATTTAATTTGAATGATATAGTAGTCATTATTTTTCATTACCATCTCTTTAGTGACAACATTGAAAGAGATTGATAGAAAGAAGACTCTAGAAAGGAGGAGAGTACAAAGAGTAGCTGTATCTGTCTCTTTCTCTTGAGTGCTTCACATTTTTTTCCATTTATTCTTTTGATTTTGATCAATACATCTCCAAACCTTTATTTCTCATTACTTCTTCATCACTTTCAATATGTTCTAAAAGAAACAATAAAGCTTTTGTATTAATAACTATAGCAGAGTATTTTACCATGTTGAGGTGGTCCTTTAAAGGAGAATTCACAATTACCTGTCTCTTAGGAGACAGTGATGGAAAAATGGGGTAGCTTGAGGATGTCAGTTTCTAAAGTGAATTCGGACTGAGAGGCTGAAGTCATCTCTCTTTTCCAATATGAGTATAGGAAGAATTCAATGCTGGGAATTAAACCTTGGCATTTCTTGGCATATAATCAATAACTTGACTTGCAAACTCTTAATATCAAGATTTTTACTCCAAGATCACCTGCAGCTATTGTTTCTTATACCTTGTGGAGTATTAGGGATTCCCAGTGTTTTAATCTCTTGGGTGCTATTTAATCGAGTTTTATGGTGGCAAGGGTTAAAACCTCCATGTATTGATGTATCTTTTCATTGAAAATGAATGGCATTGGATTTTCCAAAAGAAGCATGAAGTGAACTGAGACATGGTGTTCTAAGCTCCAGATTGTAGTTTTGCTTTCTATTCCAGATTTCTCCATTGACTTGAAGAGTAAAAAAGAGAAACCTACTCTAGCTAACTTATGCAGAAAAGATTTGCTGCAAGGGTGTTGTACAATTTATAGACCTGATGAGAAGGATAGAGAAATAGGCTCAAAAAATAGCTGGGATTTAAAGGTGGTTGAGAATTTGTGCTCAGAGCCAGATAGACACATCCAGTTAGGAAGCCAGTTTGCTGCTGGCTATGTACGGTACTTCCCTAGGCTTAAATTCACTGTGGGAATTTAAGCTGCCTCTTGACAGCTGGCTTGGCAGTTTTCTTGTTTCTAGCTTTCAGGGAGTCCATGAGGTCAAAACTGTTTTTCATGATAATTCTTAGGTTATTATTTGTCTTTTTTACAGTGTTGACTTTTGCACTGATGGTATAAAAGCACTGGTGAGCAAAAGTGTTGGAACCTTAGCATGACTGGAGGCAGTGACATGGCTGTGTGTGTGTGTGTGTGTGTGTGTGTGTGTGTGTATGTAACTGTTTTTACTGACAAATTTCTGACAGCAAATATATGGGGTTTTCACTCAGATCAGCCAATTTTCCAACTATCTGGGTACCCACTGGGTGTCTTATAATTCAGTTCAGTTCTGGCACTAAGCACCAGTGCTGTTGTAAAGGCTTAATCTCATAAGATTGCCCTTACTTCAGATGCTAGTCCCAAATATCGGGTTCCCAGGTTGCCACACTTCTGTCTGACTCGGCTGTAGATCAGGAGTTTTCACGATACCCTTTCTCTCCAGGTTTGCTAATTCACTAAAGTGCTCATAGACCTTAGGAAAACTGTGTATTTATCATTGTAAAAGTTTCCATACGTGAACAGCCAAATAGTAGAGATCTGTTGGGCAAGGTTTTGGAGGAAGGCATAGAGCTCCTCTGCCCGCTCCTGTGTGCTACCCTCCATCACCTCCCTGTGTGCGCCCACCTGGAAGCTCTCTGAACCCCTGGCTTAGGCGTTTTTATGAAGATTTCATCATGTAGGTATGGTTGATTAAATCACTGATGATTGACTCAGTCTCCAGCTCCTCTCTCCTTGGGGTTAGTAGGTTTGAAAGTTCTAAGCTTTCAATCAAAGTTTGTATTTTAGCAACCAGCCTCATCCTAAGGTTGTAGAGGACCCAGCCTGTCACTTTATTAGTACGAACTCAGGTGTGAGAGGAAGGGCTCATTAGAAATGACAAAAGTCACTTATCACTCAGGAAATTCCAAGGGTTTTAGGGGTCCTGTGCTAGAAGCCAGGGATATTTTTTATTATGCCACATATGCTCTAGGTATATTTATTCTGCACATAGTCTAGAGCCTCATCTTGCTTAATTGGCCAGATGTCAGTGGATATTTTCAGAGCTGTTTTATTGGGAAGCTGACAGTGTGATATGAAAGCTATTTTACTGGAACCAGATTGCCTGGATGTGAATCCCAACATTCTCATTTATTAACCATGTGAAATTGGGGCAACATTTAACTTGTCTGAGCCCCTGTTGACTCTTTTGTAAAATGGCAATAATAATAATATTTACCTCAGAAATATTGTGAACATTAAATAAGTTAATACAAAGTAATCATTTAGATCAGTGCATAATCTATAGTACACATTTGGAAAATGTTAAGTATCACAATCATTATTATCATTAGCAGACTTCAAATCAGGTCCCCAACAGGCTGGTCACAGGGGAAGGGAACCAAGAGATTAATTCAAACTTTCTGGATTCTTGTATAGCTCAATAACTCATTGAGTTATAACACTGATCCAGAAATATGAAGTGCTTACTGGGTTTGGATGAAGATGTGAATTGTGAGCTTTTCTTCCTATTTTCTACTGCTTGTCTATTAACTGGGCCAATGTGGAACAGAAATGAATGAACAAAAATTGCAAACAAATATTTAAGGAAGAAAACTTTAAAAGAACATATCATTTAGTTTGACAGCATGTTCTCTGTGTAGACAAGTGCAAAAAGTGGTTTTTTTATTATTAAATATACAAAAGTTGTAGAATAATATACTGGCTTAATTAGTTTTAATTGGCCTGTATCTGACCGTTGTTTAGATGAGATCCTTTTTTGTTTTTCTTTTACTATGCAGGATTGAAAAAAAAACAAAACAAACCTACCTATACTTTTTTTTTTTTTTGTAGGGCAGGGCTGGGACTTGAGCATTTAGTTCCATCTGGTAGGTAGCACAGTGCCTGGAATGGGATGGGGTTCCTAGCAGGTGTTTGCTGAATAAATAACATTCTTTTATATAAAGAGTCATTTTCCACTCCACTGGAAAATTGTTTTCAAGAGAGTATACTTTTACTAAATGCAATAAAATTTCATGGAGCACTCCAAGGAACTGCCCTGTGGTGTGATGGCTGGTGGGAGTGAGATGCTGTGGGAGGGAGGGATGGAAAATGTGCTGCAGAGAGCTCTCAGGCATGAGGCTACGTGGAGAAGGACGATGTAATTGAGCCTCTGATTTTCTTGTTTTTCTTTTCTTTCTTTCTTTCTTTCTTTCTTTCTTTCTTTCTTTCTTTCTTTCTTTCTTTCTTTCTTTCTTTCTTCTTTTTTTTTTTTTTTAAAGATCCTGCTCTCCTCCAATTCTGTTTTAGGAGTGTGTGGGGCTGGCCAGACCTCTGAATGCCTGCCATGCCAAAGGTCCCATTTAAGGAGCACTCACTGACTGCGGCCCTTGCCGTATGGGTACTCCTTTTTTGTCCTTAGCATAACTTCTGCCTGTGACTAAGTAGACTCCAGAAAACCAGAGGTAGAACAGTCCATTGTGATTTGGCACAAAACAGTGATTTTGTTAGTTATTTTCCCCCCTCTGGAGAATTTTAAACTGGAAACCATAGAAATATGGAGGCAGTAGTGGCGACAAAAACTAAAGTAGTGTATTAGGAAGTATCTTGAGATGGATGTGAAATTAAAATGCATTGTCTGTGTTATAGGGTAGACAAAATTCAAGAAATCAGAAATGCTATTTAATATTGGAGGAGAAGGAATCAGATATTTGAATTAAACTGTATAATTAATAAAGAATGCAATAGAAGATTGACTGCCTGCCTGATTGATTCATTCATTCATTCAATACATTATTCAATAAATTATTCAACAAATAATTTACTGAGTTACCTCTGTGTATTGGGGACTATGTTAGCCCAGATGTACTGCTCTGAAAAATCAGTTAGTCAGTTGGTTATTCTCACCCAGCTGAGATTTTACCCACCGGAGGACATGTGGCCAAGTCTAGAGATATCTTGACTGTTACAGCTGGGCAGTGTTCTTGGTATTTACTGGGTAGACACCCTGGGCGCTGCTAACTGATCAATCTACAGTGCTTGGGAGCTTATCTGCTTCAAAATATTGGTCGTTCTCAGAAGTCCTGGGATAAACTATCATAAATAAATATTTCATAGAATGGTTGTTATTTTGTGGTTGACATTTGACTTTTTGTGTTTTCAGAAGTGAGGACATTTCCCGGAGTGAAATGGAGGCCTCAGTAATATTACCCATTCTGAAGAAAAAACTAGCCTTCCTTTCAGGTATGTTTTCTTAAAATTGGAAATGTTTGATATGTAAGTTTACATAAACTTCCTTTCTTTGATAAGTTTGACAGAAGTCATTTTGTTTTTCTGTGAAAGATTTCAAAATGACTTCTGTCAAACTTATCTGCTTCAAATTATTGGTAGTTCTCAGAAGTCCTGGGATAAACCATCATAAATACATATTTCTTAATGAGAGTGAAGAGCTATGTGAGTGGACTGTCAGGGCTGGTTCCTGGCGGGACAATTTTTATTCTCTTCTGTAATTTGATTAAAATGACCTCTACAAGGTAGATGCCAAATTTCTTACTTCTTAAATAAAAATCTAATAATTAATAATTGAATAGGTGGCATATAAATAATTGTTTCTGAAATCTAGAGTAGTTAGTCCTTGTGAAATCCTGTTTCTTGGCTTTTGTCTCCATGTGTGAGAATGTTGTGTTACACTAGAGCCGTTATAGAATTATCAGTTGCGCTGCGCTCTCTCTCTCTCTCTCTCTCTCTCTCTCTCTCTCTCTCTCTCTCTTTTTCTCGCCCACTCACACACACATCCCCAGCCCTATTTTGTATTTTATTTAGAGACAAGGTCTCACTGAGTTGCTAAGCACTTCACTATTGCTAAGGCTGCCTTTGAACTTGAGGTCCTCCTGCCTCAGCTTCCTGAGCCGCTGGGATTACAGGCATGGGCCACCATGCATGGCTCTGCTTTCACTTTTAACTGTTTGGAATTGGGTTGTACTGGCTTAACTTTATTTTAGCTTATTAACACTAATCTGGATCAGCTAAAACAAGTAAAGGAGAAGCTATGAGATATTTTGGTAGCCTGAGAGCAGCGGTGTGGTGTGTAGAGTGTTGATTTTCTGGAATTTGGATCATTGAGTAAATCGTTCCTACTTCAGAACAGGTACTGTGGCCAGGTACAATAATCCCAGCCTGGGGAGGCAGAGGCAAAGGGCTGCAGTAGAGAGACAAGAGACAGAATGCTCCTGGGTTCCGTCTCCAGTGACCCCCAACCTCCATCTCCCCAACCTGCCACACAAATAGAATGGGCACCATGGACCCTATTTGGGGTCATTTGGATGACATTATCTACTTTTCCCTTCTTAATCTCACTAGGTCCTGTTATAATATCTTGATAATACTAATGTCTTTTTTCTCAAAATATCTTATAAATTGGCATGTTTACCTAGTATGAATGACGAAAGATGAAATAAGAAATTGAAGTCTATTAGTATTATTGTCTCCTTATTTTTTTTTAAAGAGAGAGAGAGAACAACATCTTTATTTTATTTTTATGTGGTTCTGAGGATCCAACCCAGCGCCCCGAGCATGCCAGGCGAGTGTGCTACCACTTGAGCCACATCCCCAGCCCTGAAATCTGTATTTTAAATAAAAACAAGCAATTGGTTCACTATTAATAATTCGTACCGTCAACCTAATGAAGGACAGAAGACCACTTACAGTAGCATGTCATGTCTCTGATGCAAACTTTTTTTTTTTTTTTACTTTACTCAGTTCTTGGTGATAGATTTCTAAGGCTGATATAGAATTATACTCCTCAGGATTCGCTGGTTTTTAAGCTTTTAACTCCGCTATAATTGTCAGTGGGTGGGGAGACAGGTTCCAGTATGAAAGTCAAGCCTGTGGGGAACTTTCAGAAAAGCTGTGTGAATAAAAAGGTTTAAAAGTTACATTTTAATGCATAGGGCACACTAAAGGGATCTTGGACATGCAAGGAGTGTGTGTGCCTCATGCCTTGGCCCCCAGGCCTCAGGAGCCCAGGTCCCAACCTCCTCCTCTGCTCGATGGGGCTTCCTCTTCATGGTCTTATCAACAACATAGGCCTCTATGACCTTGGTGAACCAACTGAGATCATTTCTTATCACAGAACGCTCTCTTGACTGAATTTATAAATTCAACTCCTTTTAAAAAAGTCTTAGCATTTTTGTGAAACTTTTCACATATATCACAGCTTTTATCATTTTCTAAATCCCTTTTTATAATATTTTAATGTATTTTGTATAACATACCCTACCAAATAAATGGTCATATTTCATCCAGTTATTTCTTAGGACATAAAACTTTTCTTCCTAGGTGCAAATTTATTTTATTTTACTTGTAAATGCTTATTGTGCTAGGCACACAGTAGGTGTTGGATGATTGATTACATTAAGAAACAGACTAAATGGAAGAAAATTAAGATGATAACTACTATGTTTGGATGAAGAGTTCATGAGTAAATTTTTTCTCTTATTTTTTTCTAAATTTCTATAATCTTGCCAGATTAGTATAAACACTTATAAACTACAAATAGTTGTTAGATATTTTTAAAATTATATCTTAACCTTGTAATTGTTTTGATAACATTGGATTTAGATATGTATTATGTATTATTTATTAGATGCCTTAATACCTGTCGTGTCTTAAATTTATTCTTTTTTGGTACTAGAGATTGAACTCAGGAGTGCTTTTTCACTGAGCTCATCCCCAGCCCTTTTTATTTTTTGAGACACCATGTCACTAAGTTACTTAGGCCTCATTTAAGTTGCTGAGACTGGCCTCAAACTTGGAATCCTCCTACCTCAGCCTCTCAAGTCCCTGGGATTATAGGGGTGTGCCACTGCACCTGGCTTATTATATGTTACATTTGTATTCTTTTTTTTTTCTTTATAGGAGGAAAGGACCGTCGAAGTGGCCTCATTCTGACAATTCCATTATGCCTTGAACAAACAAATATGGATGAGCTGAGTGTCACTTTGGACTACCTGCTCAGCATTCCAAGGTGACTGTAAAGGTGTCTTTTCTTATATCTCAACATGTTTTTATTCATTTACAATTGGTTCCTGCTATTGTTGAAGTATAATTTGCTATCTCATTTGCTTTAATTAGCAATGAAATTACATTAAAATAGTAGAATCAGTAAGTTATGACCACACAGCAATTAAATACTTACTTTATGCTTTTCATGCACTTACTATATACAGATTTCTAAAATGTATGTACTACCAGTGTTTAAACAATTAAGAGTCATTATGCACCTTGGAACATTAGCAGAATTGAAGAAGTTAATTTAGTGGATGTCATCTTTTATTTAGGTCACTGTTTTACTATATGGATATAAATGCAACAATAGGATTATAATATATTGAGTGAAGGCTACTAGGAATTTTCAAAATATTTTTGTTTTTAGAAAATAATGTTCAAAAAAGTTCATGTATGAATCCATAGGTCTTTGAACTTTTAAATGTCAATTCTTCAGTGAAGACAAAACTTACACCTTCCTATTTGCTTGAGTATACCCATCACTTCAACAGCAAAAACAAAAACAAACCTTCCCAACTTCCTCTCTGACAGTTGATATTTGGGGGACTAAAGTGTTGACCACATGATAGAATCATTTGGGGATTTTTTTTTTTTTTTAAATTTGATGCCTCAGATCCACTTCCAGAGATTCTGACCCAATTGCTATTGGAAGGTACGCTCAGTAGAATTTTTCTTTAATCCTTTAAGCTTCCCATATAATTCTAATATGCAGCTAGATTTGCAAGACTCAGCAGTAAAGCATGATAGTGAGCACAGGTTTGTGTGAGTAAAATCTAGAGGCAGAAAAAGAAACCAATCTATATATATGCCCTTAAGCTCTAGATGGTGAATTTAAAATGTTTTAGTCACAGTAGACAATTCTCTTTTTTCTTTTCCTGTATTTGCATTTTATTGACATAATAACTTATTTTATTTAAAACCACCTTCAAGAGTACAGGTTAAAACTATATTTGGAAAAAAATTTGGATAGTTTAGTGATTATATTGCTGATTAATTTTTTCTGTATTGGAGAAGACTTAAATTAAAAATTTAATTTTTTTTCACTTTCTGGAGAGGAAATTATCAGGCCCCAAAGTTGTGTGTTCATATTGAATAACCTTATAGTCCTTTGAACTGCTGATGTTTGATTTATATTGTTCACCATTAGGTAACAAATTTCTTTTTTTAGGTAACTGAGATTTGCTGGAGTTACAGCTCACAGATTATGGTAAAAGTACTCATAGGTGGGTTTGTAGAAGGTTAACTGTTTCAGGGAATTTGGAGAACATCAGAACCACCTTCCTTATTTTATGGTTCAGGGGACTGAAACTTAGAGGTCAGGGTTACTTGTCCAGGATCACACAGCCAGTTAGTAGTAGAGCTGGGTCTAGAATCTATGATTCCTGACACTAATCCAAAACCTCTTTGTACTTCAGATGTTTATTATACAGTATAAATGCCTCTTACATGAAGTCTGGTTTGGAAATTCAGATGAAAAGCAAAAACTATTTATAGTTTAGATTACTTTTGAAAAATGCCTGAGGAAGGATTAGAGACCTGCGTACTTGTTTGGACATACTTGCTGGGTTTTCCTCCAGCATTGAGGCTGAGATTTAGAAGACAACAGGTGACTTGTGATGACAGGTTGATAGGATATGGTGTTGGGGTGCTGCTCAGCCCATAATAGCCAGGAGGCACATGCTCAGGCACCTGCTCCCTCTTCCTCCAGGTGGTCATTCAGTTGTCATCAACCCATGAGGTCAGAGTCCTCATGCCAAAAGCCCCACCTTTGAATATTGCTGCATTGGTAATCAAGCCTTAACCCTTGAGTCTTTTTTTTTTTTTTTTTTTTGGTCTTTTTGGCTACCAGGAATTGAACTCAGGGATACTCAACCACTGAGCCACACCCCCAGTTCTGTTTTGTACTTTATTTACAGACAGCGTTTCACTGAGTTGCTCAGCAGCTCACTTTTGCTGAGGCTGGCTTTGAACTCATGATCCTCCTGTCTCAGCCTCCCAAGCCACTGGGATTACAAGTAAACCCTTGAGCCTTTGGGTGGGGGGTACTTCATATCCAAACCCTAACACTGAGCAATTCATGTTTGTTGGGATAACCAAACAAACACATACAAGTTTGAGTTGAGTATTTGTTTGAGTTTGTCTTACCAAATTTTTTTAGAACTAAATTCAGAATAGGCCCCTGAATGGATGATGATTGGAGGCCAGATACAGAAAAATTGTCCCACAATTAAGGAAGTGTAATGGGTAGTATTTCCTCATTTAATTCTTATAACTCCCTGTGAGACAAACACTATCATCCTCATTCCCATGCCACATTCGAGGGAATTGAAGCCCAGAGGGACAAGCAGTTTAGGTGGCTCCACCACAAGCATGTGGCCCACTGGGCCAGTGATGGAGTCTGAACCCAGCAGTCCAGCTCCATGGCTGTGCTTCTCAATACCATGCTAGGATTCCACTGCATATCTGTGGCTAACTTCTGGTATGTTTTCATGTAAAACCTGGATCTGTGACGACTCTAATTGACATATGAAAATAACTCTGAATATAGCATTATGAAAGATATATTGAACATCTTTTTAATTCACTTTAACTTTTTATTTCAACAGTATAGTATATTCAGTAATATTTAAAATCATAGTGTCTTTTAGCTCAAAGGGCATTTCTTGACCTTCTAATTAGAGAATTGTGGAATATCAGGGTTAGAAAATGCTTATAATCATGTAGTCTAACCATGTAAATCCTCTCTATAGAAATGTTCCCAAGTTCTTGCCTAGGGTATTTTTGATAGAAATTCACCATCTGTTAAAGCTACCTATTTTTCTCAAGTTTTGATTTTAAATCCTTTTTTTAAACTAATTATAGAAAAAATTGTTATAAAAGAAACATCAGATGAATCTCATGGCTGCTTTTTCTATTTCTATGAGGAATGTCATTGGGATTTTGATTGGAATTCCATTAAATCTGAATAGTGCTTTTGGTAGTAAGGTCATTTGACAATATTAATTCTGCCTATCCAAGAACAAGGGAGATCTTTCTATCTTCTAAGGTCTTCTTTAATTTCTTTCTTTAGCATTCTGTAATTGTCATTGTAGAGGTCTTTTACCTTTTTCATTAAGTTGATTCCCAAGTATTTTATTTTATTTTTTGAGCCTATTATAAGTGGGAATAATTTTCCTAGTTTATCTTTCACTGATAAACTTTATTTGTCACTGATGTACAGAAATGCCTTTGATTTATGGGTATTGATGGTTCAGAGTAGAGGACATAGAGACAAACCCACAGAAATACAAATAATAATATCTCATATTAGACAAAGGCGCCAAAAACCTATATTGGAGAAAAGATAGCCTCTTCAACAAATGGTGCTGGGAAAACTGGAAATCCATATGCAACAAAATGAAATTAAACCCCTATCTCTCACCATGCACAAAACTCAACTCAAAGTGGATCTAGGACCTAGGAATTAAACAGAGCCCCTGTGCCTAATAGAAGAAAAAGTAGGCCCAAATCTTCATCATGTCAGATTAGGCCCCACCTTTCTTAATAAGAAACCCATAGTGCAAGAAGTAAAATCAAGAATCAATAAATGGGATGGATTCAAACTGAAAAGCTTCTTCTCAGCAAAAGAAACAATCAGTGAAGTGAATAGAGAGCCTACAGAATGGGAGCAAATTTTTATCCCTCACACATCAGATAGAGCATTAATCTCTAGGATATATAAAGAGCTCCAAAATCTTAACACCAAAAAATCAAATAACCAAATCAATAAATGGCATGAGGAACTGAACAGACACTTCTCAGAAGATGATATACAATCAGTCAACAAGTGTATGAAAAAAAGTTTAACATCTCTAGCAATTAGAGAAATGCAAATTAAAACTACTCTAAGAATCATCTCATGCCAGTCAGAATGGTAGCTATTAAGAATACAAATGACATTAAATGTTGTCGAGGATGTGGGGAGAAAGGCACACTCATACATTGCCGGTGGAACTGCAAATTGATGCAGCCAATCAGGAAAGTAGTAGGTGATTCCTTGGAAAACTTGGAATGGAACCACCGTTTGACCCAGCTATCCCACTCCTCGGTTTATTCCCAAAGGACTTAAAAACAGCATTCTATAGTGACATAGCCACATCAATGCTTATAGCAGCACAATTCACAATAGCTAAACTGTGGAACCAACCTAGATGCCCTTCAATGGATGAATGGATAAAGAAACTGTGGTATATATACACAATGGAATATTACTCAGCATTAAAAGAGAATAAAATCATGGCATTTACAGGTAAATGGATGGAATTAGAGAATATCATGCTCAGTGAAGTAAGCTAATCCCCAAAATACAAATGCCCAATATTTTCTCTTATATGAGGATACTAATACATAGTGGGGATGGGGTGGGGGCATGCGAGGAATGGAAGAACTTTAGATAGGGCAAAGGAGAGGGAGTGGAAAGGAGGGGTAAAGGGGTAAGAAAGACAGTAGAATGAGATGGATATCATTACCCTAGGTACATTTATGAAGACATAAATGGTGTTTATAACCAGAGACATGAAAAATTGTGCTCTATATGTGTTCTATGAATTGAATTACATTCTGCTGTTGTATATCACAAATTAGAATAAATAAATTAAAAAAGAAACATCAGAATAAAGAGGTTTAATGATGTGCAGAAAATCACAGAGACATTAAGGACATAAATCTTGTCACTCAGTAAATACATGAGAGCCTACCGGGAGCTTTTCCTCGTTCTAGGTGCTGAGGTAGTGGGTGAACAAAGCAGACCCCATAGTCAGCACATCCTGTAGGTCAGACAGACATCATACACACAGGCACAGAGTGTTTGACACTCCTGAGTTATGAAAGCAAAACATGATCGGGAGACTGATGGAGTACAGGGGGTATGTGGTGATAGTTTACAAAGATAACATTTTACTAGAGCTGATTGAAGTGAGGGGCTCTACATGTATCTGATGAAAGACCATTTAAGACTGAGGGAGAAGGCTAGGGGTGGTGGCATACACCTGTAATTCCAGTGACTCAGGAGACTGAGGCAGGAGGATCCCAAGTTTGAGGGCAGCCTCAGCAATTTGTTGAGGACTTCAGCAACTTAGCAAGATCCTGTCTCAAAAAATAAAAAAAGAACTTTACCACTGGGGGTGTAGCCCAGTGGTAAAGTGCTCCTGGGTTTAATCCCTAGTACCCAAACACAACAAAACAGAGGGAGCAGGGTATGCAAAGGCTCTGAGGCAGGAGGAAGTCTAGTATGTTGTGGAAACAGCTCGGAGGCGAATGTGGCTGGAGTAGTATGAGAGAGAAGCAGAATGCTGGCCTGTGGTCTGAAGGAGAGGCTGGAGTCAGTCATGGAGGATCATGTGGGCCACAGTCAGAGCTTCAGCTCTGAATGAGAAGGAAGTGGTCGGACTCAGAAGTTGTGTAACACACATCATCTGAAAAAATTCAAAGGCTCTCTAAAGTTAAAGCACCATGTTAGAAGCTGCTCAAATATCACTAAGACATTATTCTTTTCTCTGGAAGCATGTTACCTAATGAAGATGAGTTGAAAGCAAGTAATTATAATAAAAGCATAAGTGAAGTTAGTGCTGTTATGTGGGCAGAAGCGGAATTCTGTGAATGTAGGAGAAGGTGCTCTCGTTTGTAGCTGAAGAAATTAGTGGAGTGCAGTAGGCTACTGAGCCCAGGGAGTCTCTCAACCATCCCTTTCTTCGTCAGAAGTGAGTGAGCTTATTAAGGAGCCTCACTTCTTTTACAGAGCTGTTTTAAACTTGGCCGTGTCACCTTTGAGAGGCTCCACTGGAGTAGGAATGAGGAGGCAGGGTCCTAGGTGTTTTTTTTTTACTACTGTAAAAGTTATAAACACGCTAGTAGTAACGTAGTAATTTATTAAGGTTCTGCAACATGCCTTTTTTAAAGGCATAACATGCTTCTAAATTAAATATGTTGTTAAACGTTTAAACCATCACTCCCCTTGAAGGAATGAAGTCAGCAACAAACAATTTCCTTTCAAAAATTTGAAAGACGACTTCATCTTGCAATTTTGAAATAATATCTTTGGATTTTGTGTATTTTCATTATCTGTTAACTTAGTAAAGTGTGAGAAAATTATGATTAAAGGTATTTATAGTATGTGAAAAGATAAATTCATGTGTTTTATTCAAGATCACTACAGATGGTATTTGCAAGCTTCATTACTTAGTCTTAATGTACAGATTAATTTGTAGTTTGCTTTCAGGCTTAAAATGTTTTGTAAAACATTTAACAAAATGGTTGTGTAACTTGCTTCTCAGAGATGTAGAGGCTGATGACAAGAAACTATCAAATTCTGGGACTGGCACATTTTTGGTGGAAAGGCCCTGTGCTGGCCAGCTCTGTGGTAGTGCGTTGGGGGAGGCCCTGAGTTGTTGCTGCCTCTCCAGAGACAACTCAGCAGACAGCCGCCCTGTCTAGGATGATCATTCTGGGGCTTGTATCTCAGCCCAGGCATGGTGGTCTTTCTAGATACCTAGTTGTTGGGGAACGCCAGGAATTTCCTCCTTGCCTGAGCCTGAACATAGTAATTTGGTGTGGGGTTCGCTTCCCTCCTCAAGTCATTATATGCTGTTGCTAATCCACTAATCAGAGTGTTGTGTCACCTTTTTTTTGTCTCCAAGAACACCTGGTAGATCCTTTATTTTGTAATGCCAGTTCAAAAATTGAGTACTTAAATTTTCTTTAAGTTGAGATTTAATTCATATATGAAAATCACCCTTTTCATAAAATATACAATTCAGTGGATTTTAGTATAATCACAGGATTGTGCAACCATCACACTAATTCCAGTTTATTTTCCTCTGTCCGGAGAATTTTTTACACATTTGCAATCACTCTCCACTTTGGCTTCTGTCAGTCACTAATCTACCTTCTATCTCTGTGGATTTGCCTGTTGTACACATTTCATTTAAGTGGAATCTCACAACATGTGGCCTTTTTCATCTGGCTTCTTTTACTTGGCATGTTTTCAAGGTATATCTATGCTGTAGATAGATAGTCATATCAGTCCTTCTTTCTTATGAATGAATACAATTTTATTGTTTTCCTCCTGTTTATCAGTTAGTAGACATTTGGATTATTTATCAGTTAGTAGACATTTGGATTGTTTTGACTATCATAAATTATGCTACTCTGAGCATTTATGTGCAAATTTTTATGTGAAGGCTTCATTTTGCCTCCTCGAGCAGTCCTCTCTACTTTGGAAGCTCGGCTTTTCTCTCTACCTACAGAAGAGCCTATTCTCCCTCCCAGTTTTTAGCAGCATTTTTGAGGTCTTACTGTTTCTCAGTACAGCTGGACTTGTTTCTCCAAGGACCCTCTTGGGACTCACGTAAATGCTTAGAAGGAACGGGGAGGACCAGTGAACTCTCTCAGACTGTTGGATTTAAATTCTAGGAAAAGGTCTGCTGTTTACCTTTTCTACAGTATAGGGGATTGAGAGAACTTTTGGTGGGGACAACTTTCACTCTCCAGTTCTTCCCTGCTAAGCAAGGTTGTAGGTTCTTTCTCTGTACTGGAGTAAGGGCAATTGATGCTTGCATAAAGTTGATAAGTAAAGTAGTAGTAGTAGTGGTTATGTAATTTTGCCTTTTGGATGGAGTTTTTCCATACAGAAGTTGTGCTATATGAGGGTAGACTACATATTTGAATAATTGGATATAATATATAGCAGTAGCATGCCGGGAGCGGTGGCATGTCTGTGATTCCAGCAACTTGGGAGGTTGAGGCAGAGAAGGATTGTATGTTTGAGGCCAGCCTTAGCAAATTAGTGAGGCTCTAAGCAACCCAGTGAAACCCTGTCTCAAAATAAAAAGGGCTGGGAATGTGTCTCAGTGGTAGAATGCCCTGGGTTCAATCCCTGGTACAAAAAAAGGAAGAGAGAGAGAGAGAGGAGGCACATGTTCAACCTATTTATCCACACTTAAGTATTTTATTTGTCAGGTAGCTGAATGAGAAAGTGAGAGCAGAGATGGACCAGATTTGGTGTATTCAAGGTTTGAATTATTTTGTATAGCAAATTCTATTTCATCATATTAAATTTCCCCAAAAGAGTACCAACAAGCCAGGTTCTAAGGTTTAATGACATTCTTATTTTCTTCCTGTTTTAAACTATTACTTTGCAAATCTTGCATTTCATTAGGAAGGAGAGACAAGAAGTACATAAGCACTTGACAATCAGTAGTTGCCTACTTTGCCAGGATCCCATTGTACAAATGAAAAAATTGAGAGCTAGTGAGACTGCTTGAATGTTGCTTTGATTTCATCACTTTTTAAGACATTAACTTTCCAGGATTTTAGAGTAATTTTCTTTCAACATTAAGTTGTAAATTAACTTTCCTGGAATTAAAAAAAAAATTGCTTCTGAAAATTGTGAAGAATTTTATTTATTGATAATGAAGGCCAAATCAAGTAAGGTAAATTAAATCCCCTATATTATTAAAATTTTTACCTTCTTTATTTAGAATTATGAAGAATAAAATCCAGAGCTCATTTTAATATGTTATAATTTTGTTTCATTTCAGTGAAAAATGTAAGGCTAGAGGATTTACTGTGATAGTGGATGGAAGAAAATCACAGTGGAATGTGGTGAAAACAGTCGTCTTAATGCTTCAGGTGAGTCATTTTTTTGTTTACCAGAAAAATCTTTTTATTTTATACGCAACAAATCATGATGAAAATGACAAATTTATTCCATTTATTGGACCATGCTCAGACTTCTCGGCAGTGACCAAACTCTGAAAATGTGTATGTCACTATTGGATTGTTGGAATTCAATTTTTATATGTTTGAATTTATGAGTAAAGTAAATCTCAGCCCCATAGTACACATCTGTAAATACGTGAAGATAATATGTCACGTTCTAGTCATTTAAACAAGGCAGTCGTGGCTCTCGGGTGTGCAGGTGAGCACCATGAGATTCCCAGGGAGCTGGCAGGTAGGCTGCTGATCTCATCATGCCCCTGTGCTCCCGGCTTGTGCCACAGTTGGAAGCCTGCCTGGGTAAGTTTAGCCTGAAGAGGTCTCTCAGTGACTCTGGTATGTATTTCCATTCTGGCCCCCCTTTTCCTCCAAAGCCTTCAGGATTCATGATGATCTTAGTAGTCACTCATAGCCCAGAAGACATTTACTTAACAGCTGTGTCCTCAGGGACTTCAACAGGTCAAAATTGATATTCAGTAACACTTGAAGTTATGAATTGCTTGAGAATTGACCGTAGTCTTGTGTTTTATATTAACTGTGTTCCTCACAGAATATTTCTGCTAACTCTGGCATGTAGTAGGTATCTTACTATAGTAGATTGAAAATATGGTAATATGAAATGGAAAAATAAAACATCTGCGTGATGGAAGAAGGTAAATTGTTCTCAGGGACCTGGCCTTCCTTAAAAGGGCTCTGGAGATGGTAAACTTTGAGTTAAATAACAGATATTACCTAATTTAAATGAGAGCAAATGGAAAATGATTTCTGGAAGGGATTGTGACTTAGTGATAGCTCAAAAAATGAAGCAAATTCAATGAAGGGAGTTGATAACCAGGCCAGTTTGGGGGAAATATAATTTGCCAGTAACCTGGGAGAGTGAACATTCAGTTAGGTGAACACCAGTGATATTGAAAGAAAAGTCAAGAATTCTAAGTGAATTGGAGAAATAATTGGTAGTTGCTTTAAGGTTTTGTGAAAGAAATATAATTTAAAAGTTTAAGTGATATCCAAGTAGAAAGAGTCTCAATGTATTTAGGATAATTGGGAAAAAGGTATTTGAGGGGTGGGAACAAAGTGATATTTTTAGTTTTTAGTTAACAGTTTCAATGCTTAATTTGGTTCAGGTGCTGTGTTTAGCTTCTGTATAAATTATCTCATTTAATTTTAGCTTCACAATGTTGCAGAGCAGGTTCTTTATCTTCAAAGGTCAGTTGAGGTCCAAGAATTGTAAATAACTTAAAACTAGAAATTGGTGCAGCCTGAGCACCAGCCCTTGGCTTTATGCTTGCCAAGGATTATTTACCAGCAGCATGATCTAAAGTCTCAGAAAAAGTCCTAAGGTGGGGACAGGCCTATATTCAAGGAGAAGGTACGGCTGTTATAGAGGAGTAACCCAGAAATCAGCAGAGACTAAGTTGGGAGGGCCTCAGTGGCCCTGGAAAGGGATTTGAATTTCTATTTTGAGAATCACAGAATGTCAAGAAGTAAGGTCTGTTAATAGGATATTTCAGAAAACCGGCTGGTTTGGGGATATTGGCATTACAGTTGGTAGGAATGGTTTAAGATGTATTTTAAAGTTAGGTTATACAGGACTTCCTGATAAAATAAGTGTGTAATATTTAGGTCAATAAATGTTAATTTCCATTCTTGAGGTAATAAAGAATAACCCTATCTAGTGAATATGAAATTGAATTCCATCAAAGCTTAGTTAGCTCTTTGTCGTCCTCTTCAAGTAATAATCATGTAGAATCTCAACCTTTTCTCTGTATTGGCTGATAAGAAATTTATTTTGTGAGAAAATTCATTTATATCTTAAGAAATTCTTCAGGATGGTAGTATTAGAAATGCTTTTTTCGTATAACAGAAAAACCAATTTAAAGAATTTCTCAGCTAAAAATTAAGTCTTGCAGTTTAAGCATATTCCTAGTAGAGAGATTGAAGAAGACACACACACACAAAAATTTACTATCTGTTTAATATTGTTTGAAATCTTTTCTGGCTAACTTGTCTTTCCTGTTTGCATTGCCATTGATGTTTTAAAGTTTGGAGTATTACTTGTACTTTATTATTTTAATTCTTTTTCAAAGTCTCTTAGCATATTCATGATTATCTAGTAATTTGAAAGTTTAGTAATTTACTCATTTTACATGTGTAATTTACATTTATTTTTCTGTATTTTACAGAATGTTGTTCCAGCTGAGGTATCCCTTGTTTGTGTTGTGAAGCCAGATGAATTTTGGGATAAGAAAGTGACACATTTTTGTTTTTGGAAAGAAAAGGATAGACTTGGCTTTGAGGTAAATATACTTAAAAAAAAAAAGTGTATTATATCTCTTAGTTTTAGTTTGTTCCCGTTGGTTACTAAGCAATGCTCAAATAGTACCTAAGTAATACTACAATTAGTGTATAGTTGTTAAATGAATTATGATTCATTGTCAAAAACTTTTGCAAAAGCCTTTTTATTTTTATTTATATTAACTTCTTTGAAAAAGTAGAACCTTTTTATTTAAAAAATTTTCATTGCATTACCCAGAGTAAATAACTATGAGAAAATTCTACGCATTTGGAGTTGAAATTAAAGTGTACTTTCTATGATATATCTAATTATTTTTTAATATCTTGCTTAGTTTGTTGGATTTTTTCTTTTTCTTTTTGGATACTGGCAATTGAACCCAGGGCAATTTAGCCCTTTTTATGTTTTATTTTGAGACATGGTCTCCCCTAAGTTTCTTAGTTGCTGAGGCTGTCCTTGAACTTGTGATCCTCCTGCCTCAGCCTCTTGTGTAGTAGGGATTCCAAGTGTGCACCTCTGTGCCCAACTCTTAATTTGTTTTGATAGATGAACACAGTATCCATCTTGTCTTATTGATGCTATTCTCTTTCTCTCTCATTTTTCTTTTATGAAAATACATCTTACTAAAAATAAGAAAGAAGCCCTAAAATGGATTATAAATTTAGACAATTTTGTCATGTTTTTCTTTTACAGCCTGTTGAATTTCCAGTTTTTTAGTAAAGAGTTGATAGATACCAAAGTCTATCTCTGAAAAAACAATGTCTAACCCAAATTCTGTAGAATATAGACACTGGGAATGCTTATAAGAATTTGATAGTAAAGTTTCATGTTGGACTTTGCTGTAATATAATAGTCATTTTTATTTTCATGGAAATCAATATCAGCATATTTTTGGTAGAGAGGAAAGGTGGCCAATGTATATTAGAAAGATTTAAGAAAGCCTAGTTTATTCTTAAATGAGATAGCTAGAAGAGTCTTGAAAATGTTGATTTTTTTCCCTTTCACTTAAAAAAATGCAGCTATAGTTAATATGCAATGCAGTATATTCATTTGAGGGTATAAGTCTGAGCATTCTGAACAAACAGAAAATATAATAGTTTCAAAACTACTGCCACAATCAAGAAATCAGGAAATGTCTCAGCATTCCCAGAAGTCCCTGTGTTCTGTAGTCAGCTTCTCCATCTACAGCCCCCATCAGCCATTGATATGCTTTATGTCCCAACAGTCCTGCATTTTCCAGAAGGTCATATAAGAGGAATAATACAGCAGGTAGCATTTTAAATATGGCTTCTTTCACATAGCATTTAAGATTCACTCCTATTGTTTCATGTGTTTCTCTTATTGCTGACCAGTGTTGCATGACATAGATATGTCAGCTTGTTGATTGGTTCCCAGCTGAGAGACACTTGGGGCTATTTTCAGTTTTTCTTGATTACAAGTAAAGTCATTATGAACATTCATTTGTAGGTTTTTTTTTTTGTTGTTGTTGTTGTTATTTTTTGGTGAACGTAGATTTTTATTTTGAGGGATAAAATACCCAGAAGTAGGATTATGGGGTCATATATTAAGTATCTGTTTATAAGAAATTGCCAATAGCAGTGTAAGTTGCTATATGATTTTTCACTGCCACCAGCAAAGTGTGAAAGTTCCAGTTGTATCCTTGTCAGTGTTGGGTATTATCAGAGGATTGTTTTTTTCCCCCTTTGTTTAAATTATAGCTATTTAAATGCACGTGTAGATATTTCTCTTTTGTGGCCTTAATTACATTTTTCTAATGACTAATGGTGTTAGGATCTTTTCAAGTGCTTATTTGCCATCCATGTTCCTTCTTTGGTGATAAAGAAAAGCTGTCTTTACTCATAACACTTCTGACAACAGATGTGTGGCTATTTGTTCATTTATTTATTTTCCACACCAGCCAATTCTCTGTCTCTGGGCATCAACTGGTGTCCTGTTGTTTATTTTCAGTTTTGATACAACCTCAGCTAGCAAGACCCAAAAGTGAAGGCCTCAGTTCCTAAACTGCCCCCATTTCAGTTGCCGGTTCCAAGTTTTGAACACCCAGGGTACCCGACATTTTGTTCGATTTGACTGCAAATTAGGGGTTCACACAATTCCTTTAAGGCTCAGTAATTTGCCATAAGGTCTCACAGACACTTCTCAGAAGGAAGCACTTTACTTAAATTTTGTATTTTGTTAGAAAGGATATCATGGAGTGAGACCTAGAAGTATCCTGAGCACAGGAGCCATAGTCCCTAAAAGGGTTGGAGTGTCCCAGCGCCTCAGAATATGGATGTGCTGAGCAACCTAGCTCTCTGAACCCTGAATTTTAGGACTTTTTCTGGAGGCTTCATTAAGAAGACATGATTGATGATATTCTTGGCCACCAGTGTGTAGTCAATCTCTAGCCTCTCTCCCTTCCTGGGAGGTAGGAGGATGGGACTGAAAGTTCAAACTCTCTAGTCACATTTATCTTTTTGGTCACTTGCCCTCATCTTGAAGCCTTGAAGAGGCCCCTGTGGGAGACCAACCTTGCACGTGAAGGGGTCACACTCCCTGGCTGCGTGCTGAGGCGCTCAGTTACCCACTCTTCTTGGGTTTGAGGGTCGGTGTCTCGTGCATGGATGTGTCTTGCTACAGCCCCCTGGGGGAAGCTATGCTCACCTGTTCCTTTGTAATATAACCCCTTGCCCTGTTTAGGATAGAATCTTCCATGGAAGTGCCTTGTGTGTGTCCCCTTCCCTTACTGTGCCCTTGGGTGTGGCCTACCCAGGCTTCAGTCAACCTGCTGACAGTGGACATCATGAAGATAGACTCAGCCCCCTGAAACCTGACCCCTTGCCTCATTTGAATAGCTTTTCCTCAATAAAAGGGGTCCGCACGTGCTCTCGCTCTCTCTTCCTGCGGACCCTTAAGGTCAGAGGAGCCGTCACAGCAACCCCAAAGAAAAAGGTATTTGTGTCTCTTGTGTGGTTATTTTGTGCAGCCCAGTCAGCCCAGTTCAACTGGAGTAACCCCTGAGCCTTTTAGTCTAGAGAACTGAATACCTGGCAGGCCTCCCCTCCAGCCACCCATCATCTCATTTGCATATAAAAGAACAATCATTCTAGAGATGCCAAGGGTCTTAGAAGCTCTTAGAAGTGTGAGAAATGGAGACACACTGTTTTAAGGTTCTTTCTCTACACTGTATAATATACAGTAACATACTAAAGACTGATTAATTACAGATGTATATTGTAAACTCTAGTACAACCATTAAAAAAATTTAAGAGATAAGCTAGTAACGGAGATAAGATGTAATCAGATAACAAATGTCAAGAACTGAGGATTAAGAGGAAATATAACAAAAGATTCTCCTATCACTTGGGAAATTGCAAAGGTTCCAGGAGCTCTGTGCCAAGAACTGAACCAGGATGAAAAGCAAATAAATATTTTTATATCACAATATCATATGATGTCTTTCAAATGTTTTGCCCCCTACTCCCCAATAAAGCACTTTGTTTTCTTGTTTTTGAATTTTGAGAGATCTTGATGTAATTTGGGTTGAAATAATTTATCAGATACATGCTGTACAAATATTACATCCCAGTCTATTGTTAGTCTGTTTATTCTGTAAATAGTCTATTTGCCCAGTTTTTGTTTTATGAATCATATCTGATTTTGGTGTTACCGCTGAGAAATCTTTGCCTAACTCAAGGTCACAAAGATTTTTCTCTTATGTTTTTCTCCTAGCTCTTGTTTAGTTTAGAATTTAAATTTAGATCTGTGAGCCATTTTCAGTCAGTGTTTATGTGAGCTATGACCAGAGCATCTGTGTTATGATTTCAGTCATTTTAAATTTGTTCAGGTTTGTTTTTTCACCCACTGTATGGTCCGTCCTGGTGAGTTTCTGTGTGTTTTCAAGAGTATGTATTCTGATGCTGTTGGGTGGAGTGTGCTGTCAAGGTGACCCATGGTATCATTCAGGTCTTCTGTATCCTTGGTAATTTTCCACCCATCTGTTCTTTCAATTATTGAAATAGGAATGTTGCAGTCTCCAATTATAATTGTGGATTTATTTCTCCTTTCATGTCTGTTACATTTTACTTTGCATATTTCGAAACTTTATTGTTCAGCACATAAAGATTCAGGATCATTTTGTCTTACCTGTTTCTTTATATTTAAAGTTAATTTCTTGTAGATGCCATATAGTTTGGCTTTGCTTTTATATTCAGTTTGACAGTCTCTCTCTTTTCATTGGTGTGTATGATTATTTACATATGATTATTTATATAGTTTTTGATATGGATAGTCTGTGTTGCTAAATTTTATATAATTTTCTTAAATGTGATTTTTTTTTTGTTTTTATAGCCTTTGAATTGAATGTTTTTTTATGGTTATATCTTATTTCCTTAATAACGACTCTTAATTTTTTTAATGGTTCACAATATCCATTTTTATATATACTAAAATGTAATAAATATATCTTAGGGTTTACAATCTGTCTCTTTAATTAACCATTGTTAACTTACCACATAGTGGAAACATCTTCAGTGTATCTTCCCTCCAGGGTCATCCTACAGTTTACTTTTACTGTGGTATAAACACAATACATTGTGATTCTTGATATAGACAGTGTTTAATCGTTTTGCAGCATTGAAATCTTTAAGAATGTTTCGTATTAATCTTTATCCTATTTCTGGTATGCTTTATTTCTTTTTGGAAATTTACCTCTTTGTCTGTTGTCACATTCCTTCTGCCTGTAGTGTTTGTAACATATCTTGCAATGCAAGTTGGTTGGGGCTGAATTTTCTTAGCTTTTGTTTGCCCAAAGAAAAAGGTTTATTTGTATTTCAGTTTTGTTGTTGTTGAGATAGGGTCTTAAATTGCCCTGCATCCTCCTGCTTCAAGCTCAGAACCCCCTGCCTCAGCCTCCTGGGTAGTGTATTTCCGTTTTGAAAGCTATTTTCAGTGGGGGTAGTAGCATTTTGTCTCATAGGGTCCCCAGCCCCTTCCAGCACTTTA